TGGGCCCCCCCCGCGCCAGGCGCGGGTCCCGGCAGCAGCCCTCGGTGGCAGCAGCCCTCGGTGGCAGCAGCCCTCGGTGGCAGCAGCCCTCGGTGGCACCTGCCGGCGCCTCGCGGAGCTGCTTCTCCTCCCTTCGGTCCTGTGCCACCCCTGGGGGAGGCAGGCAGCTGAAGGGGTGGCTGTTCGAGGCCTCGCCGGCCCCTCGTGGCTGCGGCACAGGGTGCGGGGACGGGCGGTGGTTACCCTCACCGGGGAGCAGGCCTGCGTTTGGGAGCGGGTCTGTGCCACCGGTGTGCGGGGCGGCAGGGCAGCGTGTGCCGGCAGGGACGGCTCCCTGGGAAGTGAGGGGCAGACACAGTACCCGGCTCCTACCCTGTTCTTCCCATTCAAACAAGGGAGCGAAAACTCACTCCAGCTCTTGCACGGCATCAGTGACAGAAACACCCTTCGGAGAAGAGTTGCGAAGAGACAGCAACAGCACCGCAAGAAAACCCATCCTGTTTTCTACCACGTGCCCGGGATATTTCAAAGTACAGCGGAAGCTATTAAATACACACGTCACCTCAATCGCTGAGGTGAGCAGACATTCGAAGCGAAGTCAAGACAATTTAGGTTAAAAAGCAATCCATTGCTGCAGTCTGGAAAAATAAAGAAGACCTCAGAGGAAGCACGAGGGCGGGAACCCAAACTGTAGCCTGCTAGCACCACACACAGGGCAGTGGGGCAAGATATCCACAGGCTCCAACAACCCCGCTGCCAGATACTGCCTTGCTGGGGCACTGCTATTTCTAATTAATAGCTTAATTAATAGTTCTAATTAACAGTTTATTTTGTGTTCCAGTGATTTTAAAATATCAGCACTGTAAAATAGATAACAGCCAGGAAAACATTAATAAAAGCTTTGGTACAGTAATTTTCACTGCATTATTATATATGATAAAGGACAATCAGGCATTTGAATGTACAGGCAAACATCTTAAGGAAAAAACCCAACACATGAAAGATTCAGAGTAAATTCCATTTTATTTGTTTTACAAAGTCAAAAACGTACAGATTGTTTAGTCCAATGCTTCCACATCAGATCCAGAGCAAACCAAGTCATGTGCTCTTACAGAACTAATACCACTGACTTCACCGTCCCTGTTCCAAAAAATTAAGAAAACTATGGGATAGGATCTGCATCTCAGATTTGATCAGCACCATTGCATCGGTATTCAGATTTTTTCAATGTACAGAAATGTTAGCCCCAAATCATGTCTCAGTACAACATATTTTACTTCAAAATCAGAGCTTGAAATTACTCTTTCAAGGACAGAAAACAACCTCCACTCTTCAACCATAGGAAGTCAGCACAGAAAACACTGGTAGCCGCTTGCAATTTGATTTGCCTTGTAAGTTTCAGTACATTCTATGTTTATAAAAAGGAATGTTAGAGACCAAAATCTTTGTTTAACAAGTAGGTAAATACAGACAACAGCAGTGCAGACTTCTTATATACTCTGATCCCTGTCCCGTGGAGTTGGGTAACTTCAGCCTCACTGGAGCACTCGGTTTTGGAATAGAACCATGAAACAAATCAGTTAATTTAACCACAATTAAATTAAAAGTGTTCTACATTTAAAGAAGTTTACTGAGTCTCATTTTTAAAGCTGTCTCAAATATTCAGGATTCACATTTCAAAGGGCCTCACCAAAAAGACAGACCGATACATACTTCAAAAAGAATTTAACCATCATTGCTAACAAGGAGAGTAACTCATTTCAAGCTCTGCATTTAAAGTGCCCATAATCTTTTACATAGTAACCAGCACGTAACACACAACTTGTGACATTTATCTACATTGTGTTATCACCACCTATTACAAAGAGCAGGCACCAAACTTTTAAAAATGTTATTACAAATTGTAAAGATTACATATTACTGAAAAGTTAGAATCCATATTCAAGAACCAAGAATTTAAATACTTTTTGCAATGTTATTTTATGTATATATTTATAGATGAGCAATTACACTCATTTTGGTTTTTAGCCCATTTCCCTCAAGTTCATAACCAAAAAACCCACACTGGACTGTGTAAGCAGAGGAGCGCTCACGAGCTGGCTGACAATGCAGAGTCCTTGCAAGTACCCTAAACCTGAGCTGGTAAAAAGTTATGCTCTGTCAATAGTGCTAGGTTACCTTTTTAAATAAATATGCTCCCTTCCCGCTCCTCCCCGCCTTTCCAGGAATATGTGAGAACTACTGTTTTTCTGCCCTTCACCCACGTGCACAATACATAGATGTGATGGACACTATATAACCAAGCTGCTCCTCAACAGCGCAACGTCTGATCAAGTCCACCTAAGTATTTCTTAAAGCACAGTGCAATTTTAGTCCAAAGCACTTCCCCCTTCATAATATCTATAAGCAAATAAAGCCTATTTTTAAATCAATATTTCAATATATTGAATATATCTAATATCAACAAATCAGAAGTCAACAGTCTTGTTCGATCTGTATCCTCAAAACAAGACTGTTTTGCTTGTTAGAAAGTACACCTACAATTGAAAATGTTTAAAACATTAGGTCTACTTGGTGCTGCAGCATGGAACCTGCCGGAGTCCCAGGCTTCCAAGATCAAGTTGCCTCCAACTTACTTCTCCTTCATTTTTTTCAAATAACGAGCCCGTATTTGTTTGTTTGTTTTCATGAGGATATTAATGACAACAGGTGTAGGTGGAAGAGAGAAGATCCAGCCCTAAAAAAAAAAAAAATCAAGGGGAAAAAAGTCTCAGCTTTTAATAGCCTGTACTAAGCGAAATCACTTACCAGCACACACAAACATTAAGAAGTTATGATTAGAAGTTAAAGAACAAAAATATTTAATATTCAAAATTATTCTTACTCTTCTTCCATAATAAACACATACATAGAACATACCAGATCCTTAGGTTTTCCAAGGTGACTTACTATGACTGCATGGGGTAGGCACCCGTTGGTCCGGGACTGCAGGCCTACCGTGCCTAAGGCAGCTCTGACATAGGTTTCAGGACTGGGCTTATCGAAGGTCGGCTTGCGGATTTTAGACATTTTTGTTGCCACATAATACGGTAGAACACTCTGCACATAGGAAAGATCATGTTAAGCGGAGAATGCTTTCAGATTAACTTACAGATCCATCAAGGAACTAAAATCATTGGAAATTAGATAACCGGTATACTGAATTCCAGCTTAAGCTAGCCTTCTTTTCAATTCTAAGATCACAACGTACAATATCAAAAACATTTTTAATCAGATTTCTTGTGGGACATATTTGGAACATGAAGGATAGTTCAGTGGTCTGTTGACAGTCAGCGTCCTCAGTTGGGGCCCTAGAAGAACTACTCTTGCAAGCATATGGTTGAAAAGCCTTTCTTACAATTTGCCTTCTAAGTGCAAAACTTCATTCCAGTTGTTTAATAGAAAAAGCTGTAGTGCTGCTTCCCTGTAGTAAACCCCCAATGTTTGCTTGGGAAGGAGGCACAGAACCTGGTGAGACCCCACCTGGAGTACTGCATCCAGCTCTGGAGTCCTCAGCACAGGAAAGACATGGACCTCTTGGAGCGGGTCCAGAGGAGGGCCACAAAAATGATCAGAGGGATGGAACACCTCTCCTGTGAAGAAAGGCTGAGAGAGTTGGGGTTGTTCAGCCTAGAGAAGAGAAGGCTCCAGGGAGACCTTATTGTGGCCTTCCAGTACTTAAAGGGGACTTACAAGAAAGATGGGGACAAACTTTTTAGCAGGGCCTGTTGCAATAGGACAAGGGGTAATGGTTTTAAACTGAAAGAAGGTAGATTTAGACTAGATACAAGGAAGAAATTTTTTACGCTGAGGGTGGTGAAACACTGGACCAGGTTGCCCAGAGAGGTGGTGGATGCCCCATCCCTGGAAACATTTAAGGTCAGGTTGGACGTGGCTCTGAGCAACCTGATCTAGTTGAAGATGTCCCTGCCCACGGCAGGGGGGGTGGACTAGATGACCTTTAGAGGTCCCTTCCAACCCAAACTATTCTGTGATTTTATACT